TAAAGATAACATAAGTTGCCTTCAACAAATTAGTAAAAAAGTAATAATATTTACTAACTAAAGGCATAAAAAAAAATAAAAGCAAAAATAAAAATAAATAAAAAATAAAAAGAAAAAATAAATGGGCGCGATAAATGGGGTAATGGACTTGCCCCGCACCGATTTCGCCCCATCGCGCTTTAACCGGGTATGGGGATGGGCAAGGTAACAAAAATACTCGACGAGATGGGGGTGAAAATGACCGACTCGTCCCATATCCACCCTGTTGCTATCCCTAAGCCATTCTCATTATACAAGATTTGATGAACCTGCACTAACCTCCTTTATTATATGAAATTTTTTGTCACATAATAGTTCAAGGACTTTGCTACATGTATATCAACATTTATATAGTGTTTTACGTAATGTCATATGACACTCTTTCGTTTGTCATTTAAAACACGATCAACTTTTTGATCCAATTTTTTCCTTCCACATCATATTATGTATATTTTTTTTATGTACAAGTAGTAAAATCCATAATTTAATGGTGCTAGAAGCACGTACCTCAAGACCGAATTCTTAGTAGTAAAGAGTAGTGGTGGAACCAGATATTTTCTTGTGGTGTCAACTTGGAATTGTTTTTGAAGCAACATCAGTGGGTTGAGACTTGAGAAATAAAAAAAGAGGTGATCTGGAGGCTAAACATCTATAGTTGCTTCCGATGTCGACAAGTTGAGCAATGTCGAATGTTAAATTTGGTTGTAGTTTGGCAACCTATATTAATATAATTAATGTTTTCATCCACCCTAAAAAAATACAATTGTTTTTATCATGTACTTCTCCTATTTGAGTCTCATTATTTCAAAACTCGTTTTTCTATTAACATATTTTTCAAAAAAATTTTCTACTTTTTAACTACGCATTTTTCAAAAAATCTCTATTACAAAATCTATTTTTCCAACATAAGACCCTTTTTGAGGTAAATGGGTCCAACAAATCGTCCTACCAACATTAGTCATTAGGTCCAAGTAATGGATACAAAAACTTGGAAAAATAAATGAAAAACTTAAAAAATGGTGCACGCCTTTGGACGTAAGCCCGAATGGTGGTCAAAAGAGGAGATGACCGCTTTTGTCCACATCTTACCCTTATCCTTATGCAGAATGTTTTGAAATTGCCTCGACGATTTTGACGCCTTCTCAATGTTGGGTCTTTTTGATATAAAATGAAAAATGATTTGATTCTATATATATATGGTATCTTATTAAATTAATCTTTAATTTTAATAATGATTTTTATTTTCTCGATTACATTTTTTAATTCTTTAATGAATTTATGATCGAAACCTCTTACTTTCTACAATTGCTCAAATGCTCGAGAAAAAGACAGAGGATGAGATGACAACTTTCAATGCAATTTTTTAAGTTGGAGACAGGAGATGAATATTGAATCTAATCATTAAGAACTTATTAGGAATTCCCTATATCCATTTGTTGTTCATAAGGGAGGTGTGTCGATGGAGAATGAAGTTCTTGGCCAATGTTTATAACTCCCAGGGACAGAGCTCCCTTATGGCTGCCCTGCGCTAGAGTCTAGGGCAGCCTTGACCCCAAACAAATTTTATGGCTGGCCCAATTTCAGCCAATTAATAGAAAAATAACCCAATAACGTTATGACCCAAATTCAGCTCAATAGCCCACCAAAAATTCAAATTCTGTCATCGATAGTCCAGAAGCATAAATTTTGCTCATGCATAAGTTTTAGCAGTAGCTTGTGAAGATCATCATCGAATTCACCTTCATTCTCCCTATCTGAGGTTCTTGCCAGTGTCTAAATATTAATTTGATTAAGACATTATTACTTTTTCTTAATTCTAGCCTACCCTAAAATCACCTTCCAGCTTTGACCCTGGTGACTCCAACATGGATTGTAAAGACCATATTTATTTGGAAGCACCCAAGATGTCATGCATCTTTTGCAGAAAAAAATGGGACTTGCGTGGAAACACCGTCTTTCTGGGTATGTACTTCTGACTCCTGAAGATGGCATAGATCTAGTAGGTCATATATTCTTCACCGATAACTCGAGTTGGATTTGAAGCGCAAGTTCAAGCTCGAGGCAAAAGTTGCAGACAATTTGACGGAATCAGAAGAAGAGAAGCCAAATCCAAATCCAAATACTTCATTGTCTGGTTTAATTAATTTCTTTCATTCCCTTACTTATAACCCATACTATGAACGTGGAATAATATTTCCCTTTTACAAGTATAATACTTGTAGTACAGCAAGGACGGACGCAGAACGTTAAAGTTGAAGAGCACAATCGAACTTGCAAAGAAATTAGCAGAAATTTTACAATCGAAAATTTATGTCTAAAAAAATCATACCCCGTGTAATTTTGCATCCGAAAATTTACATAGGATATGACTTTTTCAGATGTAAAATTTCGAAAAAAATTTATGTCATATTACATATAAAATTTCTTTTTCAGATGTAAAATTTCAAAAAAAAATTTATGTCATATTCCATATAAAATTTCATAATAAAATGATGAAAATTATATTGAGAAATTTGTATTGCAAAAATAATAATGTTAATGAAGTAATTGAATTTTTTAAAGAAAATACGAGTTAAACGTCTTTATTTAAAACTCACATTTAAATTCATTTTCAACAATTTTCGATATCTGTTTAGATTATTCGATATGCTTATAATGTAGTTCTCGAAATAAACTTTGAGATGACATAAACAATTTGTAGATTCAATTAGCGTACGATCTTCGAATTTTTTTTAAAGCATGTTATCAAAATTTTCAAAATATTAATTTTGAAAAGCTTACTAACTTTGACAAGTCGTAGCATTTACTACGATTGATCGTTTCGTACGCCATTAATGACGTAGAAAATTAGACCGTGAACATAACTAATTTTGAGCGGCTTACTTTGAAAAGTCATAGCATTTGCTACGATTGATCGTTTCGTACGTCAATAACAACGTAGAAAATTAGACCGTGAACACTTCAAAATGGTATTAAGAATGCAATATTTCGCTCTTGTTTAATGGAGAGTTAATATTTTGTTAAAAGGCGAGAGAAAAAGAGAAAAATTAAAATTTATTGTGATTTTGCCCCTATTTGATGGAGGTTTAAATCAAAATTTTAGTAAATTTTGATAAAAGTTAAATAGTTATGAATTTCATGAAATATTTTATTAAAATGAATTGTTAACTTTAATTTAGATTAAAATTTATATTTCAATCAATACCAAACATGACTTTATATTTTAAAAAAGTTGGGGGGGGGGGCGTGCTCCCCAGGACCCCCCTGGGGTCCGCCCCTGTAGTACAATATAGTTTGCTTTTACAACATGCAATACGGCGTACAGATAAACGCTGTATATACAAATGTATGTCGTAAATTGTAAATACTTTTAGTAATTGGATTATTACGACACACATTTAAGACATGTCATAAATGGTCAATTTTTACGGCACACATTTAAGGCATGTCGTATATGCACGTCTTAAGCAAATGCAGTGAAAAGCTAAGGGTCCGTTTAGTTCATATTTCAGTTTATTTTCAATTTTTCGTTTTGAGAATATGTTTTAACTTTGTTAAAAGTGCATTTGTTTGTCATTTTGAAAAACTATTCCTCAAAACAAAAAAAAGAAGTAAAAAACAATTTTGGTTTAAAATTTTGAAAAGTTGTTTTATGACATTTTATCCATGAAATTCGATTATTCAAATAATATATACATTAAAGTTAAGAAACTCGCAAAAAAAAAATTTCTCACTACAGTGTTTGGACTTTACACTGATATTTTTTTGTCGCTACATTCAAGATAATTTAAAAGAAGTTGGTGGGCCTTTTAATTAGGCATGCTAGGGGCTTTATGATCCCATCCGTGTAGAAATATAGCCGACTTCGAGTAGTTCTCTGAATCATTTAGAGAACGATGAGTTTTTTCTTCAAGATGAGAAATGGTGAGTTGGATTGGGTACTATATAAGCATGCTGGCCAGTAATAGCTTTAGGTCATGCTTTTTTACGAATCGATCTACCTCAATATTATGCAGTCCTATACATCATGTTACTTTTAAGCTAGATGTTAAATTTGGTAAGCGAGCCTCAACAACCGAGCCACTATGACTTTCACGTGCCAAGCCATTTCGAAATTGAACACTCGATACATTTGACACAGCTTAACAGTTGAAATATGGGGATTCAAAAGAAACTTATGTGTTTTACATTTATGGAGGAGGGCTGGCCAGTAATAGCTTTAGGTCATGCTTTTTTACGAATCGGTCTGCCTCAATATTATGCAGTCCTATACATCATGTTACTTTTAAGCTAGATGTTGAATATGGTAAGCGAGCCTCAACAACCGAGCCACTGTGACTTTCACGTGCCAAGCCATTTCGAAATTGAACACTCGATACATTTGACACGCCTTAACAATTGAAATATGGGGATTCAAAAGAAACTTCTGTGTTTTACATTTATGGAGGAGGTTGTAAAGTCTAGACCATGAAATATCAACGCAATCAATACGCAAATCAAGTGGTTGCTACCTTCTTTATTAATTTCCACAAGGACAACGACAACTAGAAGAAATTGGGTTCCATTGACTAGAACAGGTCATAGGGATGGCAACGGGGCGGGGTGGCGGCAACCTCCCCCGCCCCGCCAAGCAATTCCCCGCCACGTTACCCATTTAAGGCGGGACGAGGTTCTTGCCCCATTTACTACTCCGTTTAATTTTTTTTTAATGTCTTTTATAATTTATTTTTATTGCCCCCATTCATGTTACTTTTAAACTAGATGTTGAATATGGTAAGCGAGCCTCAACAACCGAGCCACTGTGACTTTCACGTGCCAAGCCATTTCGAAATTGAACACTCGATACATTTGACACGCCTTAACAATTGAAATATGGGGATTCAAAAGAAACTTCTGTGTTTTACATTTATGGAGGAGGTTGTAAAGTCTAGACCATGAAATATCAACGCAATCAATACGCAAATCAAGTGGTTGCTACCTTCTTTATTAATTTCCACAAGGACAACGACAACTAGAAGAAATTGGGTTCCATTGACTAGAACAGGTCATAGGGATGGCAACGGGGCGGGGTGGCGGCAACCTCCCCCGCCCCGCCAAGCAATTCCCCGCCACGCTACCCATTTAAGGCGGGGCGAGGTTCTTGCCCCATTTACTACCCCGTTTAATTTTTTTTTAATGTTTTTTATAATTTATTTTTATTGGCCCCCTTCATTAGATTTAGACAAATAATTTGGGCGCTCATTACCCGTCCCCGTCCCCACCCCAAGGCAAAATTCCCCTCCTCGTCCCCACCCCGAATACCCGATTAAGTAGGTTATTCCCGTCCCATTCGGGGTGGGGCCCCGCGGGTATTGTGTTTGTCGGATTTTTTTGCCATTCCTAGAACAGGAAGTCTTGGATCAACAAGTCAATTTTACATCTTATATGTACTTGTTTTTTTAAATATTATATACCTAGCTCTTGTTTGGTAGAGATTCTTTAAATTGTATTTTTGAAAAATTCATTTTTAATCAAACATTCTTTTAATAAAATAATTTTACATATGGATTCATAATTTTCTTACCACATATTCTAAAAAGGAAAAAAAAAATTACTTTTCAAAAAATTTACATCACACAGGCTTTCAGTATAACATTTTGCAATAGTAAAGAATCAACATATTGAGTCCTTTCTCCATCAATACGCAAGTCAAGTCGTTGCTATCTTCTTTATTAATTTCCACAAGGACAACGACAACCGAAAGAACTTGGATTCCATTGACTAGAACACTAAGTCTTGGATCAACACCTCACCACTTCTTCACCATTTTATATGCACCTGTTCTTTATGAAATAGAGACTGTGTAACATTTTGCAAGCAAGATAATGTCGGCCTTTAAGAGCTCTGGTTATGTTTTCTTATTTTGCCTGTTCTTTTTCTTTAGCACAAGAAGGGTTACCTCCCTGAATCCTCGTTATAAGATCTGTGAAAATTCATCTACATATAGTCCTAACAGCACCTACGAGGCCAACCTGAATCAACTTTTTCTCAATTTATCATCGACAAATGCCACCCAAAATAATGGATTTTACCGCTCCGAGGTGGGTCGTGGATCTCCAGACGCAGTCTACGGCCTCTTCCTATGCAGAGGTGATGTGAACGCGGACATATGCGAAGATTGTGTGAAGAATGCTACGACAGATATGTTACAACTTTGTGCCAACAGAAAAGAGGCAATTATCTGGTACAATGAGTGCATGTTACGTTACTCAAATCAATCCATAGTATCCAGCGTGCAGCAATATGCCAAGGTGTCCTTTTATAATACCCAGAACATTACAAATGAACCAGACAGGTTCGAACAGTTGTTGGCCGACACCCTGAATGAAATAGCCACAGAAGCATCAACTAATCTCACTGGTAAGAAATTTGCTACTAAAGCAGTTAATTTCACAGCATTCCAGAGACTGTACACCCTGGCGCAGTGCACCCCTGATCTTTCCATCAGTGATTGCAATAGCTGTCTTCAAGATTTAATCTCAAGGTTACCTTCATGTTGTGCTAATAGCCAAGGAGCACTAATTCTTTTCACCAGCTGCAATATTAGGTATGAGGTTTACCCATTTTATAATTCCACTTCGGCCCCTGCTCCAAATACACGTCCTCTTGCGCCACCACCTCCATCAAATTCTTCAATTAATGAAGGTAACTTTCTCATTCTTAAGCAGCAGAAAACTTTAATTTGAAATCGAATAACTTGTTAATTTTTGTAGTATAAAGGTTAAAGTTTGAAATTAACTTTTATCCCATTGAAGGCCAGAATTCAATTAATCATATTTGGGAAGTGTTTATAAATTGTTTAAATTATAAATAGATAAAAATGAGTTGTGAATAAGTAAATAGTACGTGTGGATTCCTCGAAATCTGTGAATAAAAAGTGGCTTATGTATTTATAAACATGAGCCAAACATAGGCCAATTCTTAGTTTAGCCTTGCAATGCTTGTGATGAAATGGAATTCTTAATCAAAGTGCTCGAATATTTTAGTTACAAGTTTCCCTTCTTTTCTTCTTTTTTCTTTATGTGTTATCAATGCAGGAAATGGGGGAATCTCAACAAAAGTTATTATTGCCATAGTTGTTCCAGTTGTTGTGTCCTTGGTGCTTTTCTTCATAGGCATCTGCCTCTTCATTAGGAGGAAAAAATATTATGATGCTGTAAATGAGGAACATGGTAAGCTATGTGGATCGAAATGAAAAAGTAGAATAAATAAAATTAGATACCCTTTTGATCAAATTATATTAGTGTATGCACTATTTAGATTTTGTACTGAGCACAATCATCTAAAGTATTAAGAGTAGACAATGCATATTTAAAGAAATTTTTCTAATGATTTGCTTATTTTTTTGTAGAAGAAGAAAATGAGATTTCGATAGTTGAATCCTTGCAATATGATTTAAATACTATTCAGCTTGCTACCAACAACTTTTCTCTCGATAACAAAATCGGTGAAGGTGGATTTGGTGCTGTCTACAAGGTAACCTAAAAGGACAATATAAGTTCGCTAATATGTAATTCTAGGTTTGTCCCTTTTATTCAGGGTGTTTTTGCAATCTTTTTCACATACAAGCTTTGTTTGGTAAGTCAGACCATAGAGTAAAATTTTGTTAGCTGTGTTGGCTATGAACACATATTAAATGTGCTTGTAGGGTACTTTCCCGAATGGGCAAGAAATAGCTGTGAAGAGACTTTCCAAAAGTTCAGGACAAGGCGCAAAGGAATTTAAGAATGAGGTTGTACTTGTCGCCAAGCTTCAACACAGAAATCTAGCAAGACTACTGGGATTTTGCTTGGAAGGAGAAGAGAAGATACTTGTTTATGAATTCGTGCCCAATAAAAGCCTTGATTACTTTCTATTTGGTTAGCATCTATCTTGATTACTATTTTCTCATCATTTTCTTGAATTTCCTTATATTAGCAACCAAGAAAATTTATAGAAATACAATTATCTCCATATATATTTTTAAGCTATGGCCTTTTAAGTTTTCATTTATGACATTTCGGCTTTAAAACTGAGTTTTTCCATCAATGATTAATCTGATGCATACTCTTAATGAATATATAGATCCAGAAAAACGGCAAATGTTGGATTGGTCGAAACGTTATAAGATCATAGGAGGAATAGCTCGAGGAATGGTTTACCTGCATGAAGATTCTCGTCTCCGAATTATACACCGTGATCTTAAAGCTAGCAATATACTATTGGATGAAGAAATGAACCCAAAAATATCCGATTTTGGCATGGCGAGGATATTTGGTGTTGATCAGTCTCAAGGAAATACAAGTAGGATTGTTGGGACATAGTAAGTGCCATAAAAATTAAATAGGCTTTTCAAGAATCAAACACTTGGTTTCTCAAGCTTACCTTAATTAATATTTATGCTTCTGGCTTGTAGTGGTTACATGTCTCCTGAGTATGCAATGCATGGCAAGTTCTCGATGAAATCTGATGTTTTTAGTTTTGGCGTTCTTGTTTTGGAAATCTTAAGCGGGAAGAAAAATAGCAACTTCGACCAATCCGATGGTGACGAGGTTCTCATTACCTATGTAAGTGCGAACTCCACATTATTCTTAATGTTATTTTTGTTAAAATAACTCACCATTATGAATGTATGTGTTGTTATACGATGTGTAAACTAATTATTATGTTCAACTACTTCCCATTTGCGAATTGTCAATGGTATATTAGAAGTCTATACGTGTAATATAACACTATAATGTTTTCACCATATACAAAGTATTTTAAAGAAGGCTGTTTTTGAGGTAAGATATCAAAAAACTGTAGAGGTAAGTATTTTAGCGTGATTTTGATGTGGAGCACCATTTAACACAAGGGTGGATCCATACCACAAGGGATCCTCAAAGTAAAGGCCAAATGAATAATGGATGGAGTGGATTCTCAAACTCGATCTGGGCGATAAAAGTTTGACTATACCCCTCCTACTGGCCCCAACTTTTGGGAGAATGGCTGCATATCCCTGCAAGAAACTTTCATGTTTCTAATTATTGTTCTTGTAATTGAGATTAGGGCTCAAAGAATGAAATAAAAATATTGTTGTGCAGGCTTGGAAACTCTGGAGAGATGGTAGACCATTGGATTTGATAGATCCAACACTGAAAGACTCGTTTAACAAAAATGAAATGATTCGATGCATGCAAATTGGCTTACTATGTGTTCAAGAAGATGTTGATGAAAGACCAAACATGACATCTGTAATTTTGACGCTCAATAGCTATTCAGCCACTCTTGTTGTTCCTCGTGAACCTGCATTTTTTTTTGGTAGCAGTATACGGAGCATCCCCATGGGACCGGAATCGGACAAATCCACGTCAACCTCAATAGCCCTTTCTACAAATGAAGCATCAATTTCTGAATTATATCCCAGATAGAGAAATAAGTTAATCGTGTATATTTAGTTTTTGTCTATGGTGTTGAAAGATGATTGGCAAATTTTATCAATGAAAGAACAAATAACATATAAGAATTATGTTGTAATGTAAGTTCTGGTAGAGATCACATGTTCTTGTTTATATAGTTACGGTTTTCCACTTTATTTTTGCTTTCTAATTTGTAAGGACGTGTTTGTTACACAATATATTTAATAAGAACCAATACTATGAATAAGATTTTTGACTTTTTGATTAATATTGTGCGTATAGTAAGCACTACCCAGTCCATATTACCGTATAAATCAAAATATTATTTTTGTACGGAATTCGTCAACAAAAAAGTTACAAATGATAGTACACGTCTTTTCAATTTCTCGAAGTTTTTATTAGGAATGCTAGGCTTTATGATCCGATTCGTGTACAAACATAACAGGCTTCGAGTAATTGTCCAAATATTGAAGAGAAACTGTGAGGGGATTGTTTTTTTTTTTTTTTTTGGGGGAATAAATTCGCCACAACACATGTTTTGTAACAGGTTGGCTGTGACTTTCACATGCCAAGCCAATTACAAAATAAAAACTCGATGCATTTGACCAGGGACGGATTCAGGACCGGATTACAGGCCAGGCTAATATGTAAAAAAAAAAAAATTACACACGATTTTTTTTCTAACTAAAAAAAAAAAAAAATTTGCTACAGCCCCCTAAATCCGTCCCTGCATTTGACACGTCTAGACAGTTGAAATGTCAAGAGCTGTAAAGTCTCTAACCGTGTAAAATCAACATTTTCAGTCCTTTCTCCATCAATACGCAACTTGTTGCTACCTTCTTTATTAATTTCCACAAGGACAAGGACAACCAAAAGAAAATGGATTCCGTTGACTAGAACAGGAAGTCTTGGATCAACAAGTCGATTTTACATCTTATATGCACCTGTTTTTTTTGCAACAGGTGACTAATTTGGGAAGTGACTAATTTGCCCTTTTTCAAATATTATTGGCAAAACATTCTAAATTTCTTAACAGCGGATTTAACGGAATTGAATGGAAGGACCGATTCTGCAACAAACGTTCGGAATAAGGGTACAAATATCAAATTTAAAACGACAGGGACCATTTTAGCAATGAATGTAAACGTTAGGGACCATTTCTGCTAATTATCCTTTTTTCTTGTGATGTCAACTTGTAATTGCTTTTGAAGCAATGTCGGTGTGTTGAGACTTGAGAAATAAAAAGAGAGGTGATCCGGAGGCTAAATATCTACAGTTTGGCAACCTATATTAATGTTTTTATCCACCCTAAAAAAATACAATTGTTTTTATCACGTACATCCCTTATTTGAGTCTCATTATTTCAAAACTTGTTTTTTTATTAACAAATTTTTAACCTTTAATGAAACGTAAATCTATAACTTTTGCTACCTTTTAATTACACATTTTTGCAAAAACTCACTATTACAAAATCTATTTTTCCAACATAAAAGGGCTCAAACAAAGGCACAGTATCCTGAATACTAAAATAGCTAAAACTAGGGGCATAAGGTCCTGTTACAAATATCAAAACAAAAGGAGTTGAGAGTTAATATAGGTTTGTTCACGAATTATCATTAAAAATTAAGTTGTTCCTTAAGAACCATGCATTTCTTTGTGGAGTATGACTTTTCTTGAATTAATAGAAATTCAAGGAGATCATGTAATTCTTCACAAAACAAGATGGCGTAGATCTGGTAGGTCATATATTCTTCACCGATAACTCGAGTTGGATTTGAAGCGTAAGTTCAATCTCGGGGCAAAAGTTGCGGACAATTTGACGCAATCAGAAGAAGAGAAGCCAAATCCAAATCCAAATACTTCATTGTTTGGTTTAATTAATTTCCTTCATTCCCTTACTTGTAATCCATTCTATGAACGTGGAATAATATTTCCCTTTTACTAGTATAATACTTGCAGTACAATATTGTTTTCTTTTTACAACATGCAATACGGCGTACACACATGGACGGATCTAGGATTGGATCCAAAACTGGGCTACAAAGTTTCAAATCGGGCTAATACGCGAATTTTTTTTTTTTTTTACACTTGAAAAACTGTTTTAAGGAAAGGGGGCTACAGCCTAGCCTAGCCCAGCCCCCCACTGTATCCGTCCCTGTGTACATATAAACGCTGTATATGCAAATGTATGTCGTAAACTGTAAATACTTTAAGTAATTGAATTATTACGGCACACATTTAAGGCATGCCATAAATGGTCAATTTTTACAGCATGTCTTATATGCACGTCATAAGCGAATGCAATGAAAAGCTAAGGGTCTATTTAGTTCGTGTTTCAGTTTTCAATTTATTTTCAATTTTCTGTTTTGAGGCTATGTTTTAACATTTTTAAAAATGCATTTGTTTTCTCATTTTGAAAAACTATTCCTCAAAAAAAACAAAAAAAAAAACGATGAGAACGATGAGTTTTTTTCTTCAAGATGAGAAACGGCAAGTTGGATTGGGTACTATATAAGTATGCTGGCCAATAATAGCTTTAGGTCATGCTTTTTTTACGAATCGGTCTGTCTCAATATTATGTAGTCAAATACATCATGTTACTTTTAAGCTAGATGTTGAATATGGTAAGCGAGACTCAACAACCGAGCCACACAATTGACATGAGCTGACTATAGAAACAAGTTGGCCACAACTCACACGGCTTGTAACAGGTTGGCTGTTACTTTCACGTGCCAAGCCAGTTTGAAATTGAACACTCGGGCACGCCTTAACAGTTGAAATATGAGGATGCAAAAAGAAAAAGTTGGCGTGAACAAACTTTTGTGTTTTAACATTTATGGAGGAGGTTGTAAAGTCTAGACCATGAAATATCAACGTAATGAATACGCAACTCGTTGCTACCTTTTTTATTAATTTCCACAAGCACAAGGACAAGGACAAGGACAAGGACAACCAAAAGAAATTGGACTCAGTTGACTAGAACAGGAAGTCTTGGATCAACAAGTCGATTTTACATCTTATATGCACCTGTTTTTTTTTTAATGAAATATACCTAGCTCCTATCTGGCAGAGATTCTTACCACACATTCTTAAAAAAAAAATTACTTTTCACAAAATTTATTTTCAAAAAATTTACATCAAACACGCTTTCAGTGTAACATTTTGCAATAGTAAAGAATCAACGTATTGAGTCCTTTCTCCATCAATACGCAAGTCAAGTCGTTGCTATCTTCTTTATTAATTTCCACAAGGACAAAGGCAACCAAAAGAACTTGGATTCCATTGACTAGAACAGGAAATCTTGGATCAACACGTCACAACCTCACCACTTCTTTACCATTTTATATGCACCTGTTCTTTATGAAATAGTGCTTGTCTGTTTCCAATTTTCCCCATATTTTAATCCCTTTTTGTACCGTTGGCTGCCGCAAAGGTTGACCTTCTCCTCACAATGATGGGACCCTGGTTGAAATTAACGGTCAAGCAATCAATTTTTTGGCTCAAAAAATTGCGGCCAGACACCTCCATAGAGACAATGTAACATTTTGCAAGCAAGATAATGTCGGCCTTTAAGAGCCCTGGTTATGTTAAGGATGGTAGTGGGGCGGGCCGACAGTGTAACATTTTGCAAGCAAGATAATGTCGGCCTTTAAGAGCTCTGGTTATGTTAAGGATGATAGTGGGGAGGGTTCGGGGCGGGCCACCCCCGCTCCACCCCTGCCCGGGGCGCGGGGTGGGGCAGTGGCTTTCCCCGTTTTGTTTCACCGCCGCCGGCCGCCTCTTCCTCCACAGGCTCTGCAACCAGAGATCACGACAAACAGGTATGTTTTCGAGGCAGCGACTCCCTCCCCTACATCCCAATACCCAAGCTCCAACGTTCCTGATTATTACCCGAAAAAAACTAAGAAAAACCCTAACAAGGATCACACTACTGGTAAAATTCTTTAACATCTGCACCACAAAAATAGTAGGTGAAAAAACCCACATTAGACCAAAGGGAAAAAAATCTCACACGATAAAAGTGAGACAAAAATAAGAATTGAAGAGAGAAAATAAAAAAATTTAAAACACCCGTGGTCAGTGCTTTGATAAGGCTAGTTCGACAATGCGTGAAATCTCTAAAAACTTGTTCAACAGTTCGAGGATTGTACAGTCCTCTGTCCATTTTTCCCCAAGTTCAACACTTCAACTTTAAGGAAATAATAAAAAGATAGGGTACCCTAAAACCCTTGGAAGCAGAGAAATGGGTTTTGTTGTCAGTGTTGTTAATGAACCTTCTATCGGGACAAG